TTACCCAACAAGGCTGTCATTCAAAATAGAAGGAGAGATAGAGAGTTTCCCAGACAAACAAAAACTAAAGGAGTTCATGACCACTAAACCAGACCTGGAAGAAATTTTAAGGGGGACTCTTTGAGTGGAGAAAAGATAAACCAAAAAAGAGCAAAAGCAACAAAGACTAGAAAGGACCAGAGAACATCACCAGAAACACCAATACAATGGCACAAATTCATACCTTCAGTACTCACCCTAAATGTAAATGGACTAAATGCTGCAATCAAAAGACATTGGATATAAGAATGGATAAGAAAACAAGACCCATCTATATACTGCTACAAGAGACTCATTTTAGACCTAAAGACACCTGCAGATTGAAAGTAAGGAAATAGAACCATCTGTCACGGTAATGATCATCAAAAGAAAACTGGACTAGCCATACTTATACTAAAATAAAGACTGTAACAAGAGATAAAGAAGGGCATTATATCATAATTAAGAGGTCTATCAACTGAGAAGATCTAACAAATGTAAATATTTATGCCCCCAACATGCACCCAAATATATAAATCAATTAACCACAAACATAAAGAAACCCATTGATAATAATACTGTAATAGTAGAGGACTTCAACACCCCACTTATAGCAATGGACAGATCACGTAAATAGAAAATCAACAGGGAAACAATGGCTTTGAATGATACACTGGCTTGGATGAACTTAACAGAGCATATATTCAGAACATTTCATCCTAAAGAAGCAGAATACACATTTTTCTCGAGTGTACATGAAACATTCTTCAGAACAGATCACAAACTGGGTCACAAATCAGCCCTCAACTAGTACAAAAAAATCAAGATCATACCTTGCATATTTTCAGACCACAACGCTATGAAACACAAAATCAACCACAAGAAAAAAATTAGAAAGAACAGAAATACTTGGAGATTAAAGAAAATTCTACTAAAGAGTAAATGGGTTAACCAAGGAATTAAAGAGGAAATTTAAAAGTACATGGAAGCCAATGAAAATGAAAACAAAACCATCCAAAACCTTTGGGATGCCACAAAGGTGGTCATAAGACAACAGTATATAGCAATCCAGGCCTTCCTAACAAAGGAAGAAAGGTCTCAATTACACAACCTAACCTAACACCTAAAAGAGCTAGAAAATGAATAGCAAATAAAACCCAACACCAGCAGAAGACAGGAAATAATAACGATTAGAGCAGAAATCAATGCTATCAAAAAACAACAACAACAACAACAACAAAAAACAAACAGTAGAACAGATCAATGAAACCAAAAAGCTGGTTCTTTGAAAGAATTGACAAAATTGATAAACCCCTAGCCAGTGTGATCAAAAAGAAAAAGTAAATGGCCCAAATAAATAAAATCACGAATAAAAGAGGAGAGATCACAACCAATACCACAGAAATACAAACAATAGTAAGATAATATTATGAGCAATAATATGCCAACAAATTGGGCAATCTGGAAAAAATGGACAATTTCCTAGAAACATATAAACCATTGAAATTAAAACACAAAGAAATAGAACATTTGAATGGACCCATAACCAATAAAGAAATTGAATCAGTAATCTAAAACCTCCCAAGAGTCCAGAGCCAGATGGCTTTCCAGGGTAATTCTACAAAACATTTAATGAAGAGTTAACACATATTCTTTTGAAGCTGTTCCAAAAAATAGAAATGGAAGGAAAACTCCCAAACTCATTCTACGAGGCCAGCATTACCTTGATTCCAAAACCAAAAACCCCACTAAAAAGGAGAACTACAGACCAATTGTGCTGATGAACATGGATGCAAAAATCCTCAACAAGATACTAGCCAACTGGATCCAACAATACATTAAAAGAATTATTCACCACAACCAAGTGGGATTTATTCCTGGGATGCAGGGCTGGTTCAATATCCACAGAATCAATCAATGTGATGCATCACATTAATAAAAGAGAGGATAAGAACCACATGATCCTCTCAATAGAGGCAGAAAAAGCAATTGGCAAAATATAGCATCCTTTCTTGATAAAAACACTCAAGAAAGTGGGGACAGAAGGAACATACCTCAAGATCATAAAGGCCATACACGAAAGACCCACTGCTAATATCATCCTCAATGGGGAAAAACTGAGAGCTTTCCCCCTAAGATCAGGAACATGACAAGGATGTCCACACTCACCACTGTTATTCAACATAGTGTTGGAAGTCTTAGCCTCAGCAATCAGACAACAAAATGAAATGAAATTCGTCCAAATCAATAAGGAGGAAGTCAAACTTTCACTCTTTGCAAATGACATGTTACTCTATGTGGAAAACCCAAAAGATTCCACCACAAAACTGATAGAACTGATCCATGAATGCAGTAAAGTTGCAGGATACAACATCAATGTACAGAAATCGGTTGCATTTCTATACACCAATAATGAAGCAGCAGAAACAGAAATCAAGGAATCAATCCCATTTACAATTGCATCAAAAACCATAAAATACCTAGGAATAAACATAACCAAAGAGGTGAAAAATCTATACACTGAAAACTATAGAAAGCTTATGAAAGAAATTGAGAAGACACAAAAAAATGGGAAAACATTCCATGCTCACGGATTGGAAGAACAAATATTGTTAAAATGTCAATAATACGCAAAGCAATATACATATTCAATGCAATCCCTATTCAAAATAACACCAGCATTCTTCACAGAGCTAGAACAAACAATACTGAAATTTGTATGGAACCAGAAAAGACCCCGAATAGGTAAAGCAATCCAGAAAAATAAAACCAAAGCTGGAGACATCACAATTCTGGGCTTCAAGCTGTATTACAAAGCTGTAATCATCAAGACAGTATGGTACTAACACAAAAACAGACACTCAGATCAATGGAACAGAATAGAGAACCCAGAAATGGGCCCACAAACATATGACCAACTAAACTTTGACAAAGCAGGAAAGAATATCTAATGGAAAAAAGTCTCTTCAGCAAATGGTGCTGGAAAAACTGGATGGTGACAGGCAGAAGAATGAACCTGGACCACTTCCTTACACCACACACAAAAAATAAACTCAAAATAGGGCTCCTGGGTGGCTCAGTAGGTTAAGTGTCCGACTTTGGCTTAGGTTATGATCTCACAGTTCATGGGTTCAAGCCCGATGTCGGGGTCTGTGCTGACAGCTCAGAACCTAGAATCTGCTTCAGATTCTGTGTCTCTCTCTCTCTCACTGCCTCTCCTGCACTCACAATCTTTCTCTCTCTAAAAAATAAATAAATATTAAAAGAAAAATTTTAAAATAAACTCAAAATGGATGAAAGACCTAATTGTAAGACAGGAAGCCATCAAAATGCTAGAGGAGAAAACAGAAAACAACCTCTTTGACCTCGGCTGCAGCAACTTCTTACTTGACAGGTCTCCAGAGACAAGGGAAACAAAAGCAAACACGAATTATTGAGACCTCATCAAAATAAAAAGCTTCTGCACAGCAAAGGAAACAATCAGCAAAACTAAAAGGCAACTGATGGAATGGAAGATATTTGCAAATGACATATCAGATAAAGGGTTAGTATCCAAAATCTATAAAGAACTTATCAAACTCAACACCCAAAAAACAAATAACCCAGTGAAGAAATGGGCAAAAGACATGAATAGACTCTTTTCCAAAAAAAGACATCCAGATGGCTAACAGATACATGAAAAGATGCTCAACATCATTCATCATCAGGGAAATACAAATCAAAACCACGATGAGATACCACCTTACACTGGTCAGAATGACTAAAATGAACAACTCAGGCAACAACAGATGTTGGGGAGGATGCAGAGGAAGAGGAATCCTTTTACACTGCTGATGGGAATGCAAACTGGTGCAGCCACTCTGGAAAACAGTATGGAGGTTCCTCAAAAAATTAAACATAGAACTACCCTATGACCCAGGAACTGCACCACTAGGTATTTATCCATGGGTACAAAAATGCTGATTCGAAGGGCACATGCACCCCAATGTTTATAACAGCACCTGCGACAACAGCCAAAGATTGGAAAGAGCCCAAATGTCCTTCAACTGATGAATGGATAAAGAAGATTTGGGGTGTGTGTGTGTGTGTGTGTGTATACATACATTGAGTAATATTCCATTATGTGTATATGTGTGTGCATATATATATATACATACATTGAGTAATATCCCACACACATAATGGAATATTAGTCAACAATCAAAAAGAATGAAATCTTACCATTTGCAACAATGTGTATGGAAATAGAGAATGTGTATGGAAATAATGCTGAGCGAAATAAGTCAGTCAGAGAAAGACAAATATCATATGATTTCACTCATATGTGGAATTTAAGAAACAAAACAGATGAACATAGGGAGGGGAAGCAAAATAAGATAAAAGCAGAGAGGGAGACAAACCATAAGAGACTCTTAATACAGAAAACAAACTGGTGGGGTGTTTGGTGGGGGGAAGGGCTAAATGGACAATGGGCATTAAGGAGGGCACTTGTTGGGATGAGCACTGGATGTTATGCATAAGTGATGAATCACTAAATTCTATTCCTGAAATCATTATTACACAATATGTTAATTAACTTGGATTTAAATAAATTGAAAAAATTAAAAAAAAAAAACAACTATGAACTAATCAACAGAGCCACAGAAGGAGAAGGGAGAGAGAACAGGGCAGAAAGCTTATTTAAAGAAATAATGCCTGAGAATTTCCCAAAGTGGCAAAAAAATATAGATATCCAAGTTCATAAATCTATTAGATCATTGCAAAATTTCAATCCAAAATTAGCTCATCCAAGACAAACTATTATAAAACTGCCTAAAATCAAACATAAGGAGAGAATTTTAAAAGCAGCAAGAGAAAAAAATTTTTTTTCAATACAAGGAAACCCACATAAGACAATCACTGGATTCCTCAGCAGAGACCTTGCAAGCCAGGAGAGATTCAAAGTGCTAAAAATAAAATACTTCCAATTAAGAAAACCTTACCCAGCATGTTGCCATTCAGAAACGATGGAAAGATAAAGACTTTGCTAACAAATAAAAGCTAAGGAAATTCATTACCACTAGACCTGCATTACAGAAAATTCTGAAATGAGTTCTTCAAGCTGAAATGAAAAGACTGTAATTAGTAACATGAGAACATATGAAAATACACTAGTAAAGCATATAGTCAGATTTAGAATACTCTAACACTATAAATGGTGATTATTAATTACTTAACTCTAGTATAAAGGTTAAATGATACAAGTATTAAAAATAACCATAGCTAAAATAATTTATTAATGGATACTCAACATGAAATGATGTAAGTTGTGGCATCAGAAACATAAAGGGGGAAATGCAAAACAATAGTTTTTGTATGAGATAGAAGTTAAACTGTTAGTATAAAATAGACTGTTTTATTTATAAGGTGTTTTATGTAAGCTTCATTGTAACCACAAAGAGAAAACCTACAGTAGATTCACAAAAGATAAAGGTAAGAGAGTCAAAGCACACCACTATGGAAAATCAATTTACAAAGGAAGGCAGCAAGAGGAAGAAAGGAACAAGAAAACAATAAAACAGGGGCGCCTGGGTGGCTCAGTTGGTTGAGCATACAACTTCGGCTCAGGTCATGATCTCACTGTCTGTGAGTTCAAGCCCCACATTGGGCTCTGTACTGACAGCTCAGAGCCTGGATCCTGCTTCTTCGGATTCTGTGTCTCCCTCTCTCTCTGCCCCTCCCCTACTCATACTGTGTCTCTCTCTCTCTCAAAACTAAATAAACATTAATAAAAATTTTTTAAAGAAAACAATAAAACAGCCAGAAAACAATAAGATGACATTATTAGTAAATACTACAGATCAATAATTTATCTAAATGTAAATGGATTGCATTCCCCAATCAAAAGCCATAGAGCAGATGAATGGATAAAAACAAAAAGACCAGATATATGCTCTTTCCAAGAGATTCACCTCAGCTTTAAGTACACACATAGACTGAAAGTGAAAGGTTGGAAAAATATAATCCATGGAAATGGGAACCAAAAAAAACCAGGGGGAGCCATACTTAGACAATATATACATTAGTCAAAAGCTATAAAAGAAACAAATAAGGCCATTGTATAATGATAAAGTGGTCAGTTCATCAAGAGGATATAAAAATTTAAACATATACCCCAATATTGAAGCAACTAAATATATTAAGTAAATACTAACAGATACAAAGGGAGAAACAGACAACAATAAAATAATAAGTAGAGTTTTTCAATACACCATTTCAATAATAGGTGGACCAACCATGCAGAAAACAAATAAGGAAACCTTGAACTTGAACCATACTATAAGGCAAATGAACCTCAGAGACATAAACAGATAATTACATCCAACAGAAGCAGAACATATTCTTTCCAAGCACACATGGAAAATTCTTCAGAATAAATCATATAATAGGCCACAAAACAGCTCAACAAATTTAAGAAGACTAAAATCATAACAAGCATCTCTTCCAATCACAATGGTATGAAACTAAAAATTAGGGGCGCCTGGGTGGCGCAGTTGGTTAAGCGTCCGACTTCAGCCAGGTCACGATCTCGCGGTCCGGGAGTTCGAGCCCCGCGTCGGGCTCTGGGCTGATGGCTCGGAGCCTGGAGCCTGTTTCCGATTCTGTGTCTCCCTCTCTCTCTGCCCCTCCCCCGTTCATGCTCTGTCTCTCTCTGTCCCAAAAATAAATAAACGTTGAAACTAAAAATTAATAAAAGGGAGAAAACTGGAAATTTTACAATAATGTGGACATTAAACAATACACTTTTAAACAATAAGTCAAAGGAAGACTCAAAAGGGAATTCAGAAAAATATCTTGAGACAAATAAAAATGGAAACACAACATATTAAAACCTATGGGATATTAAAGCAGTTCTAGGAGAGAAGTTTATAGCAATAAATGCTTACATTACAAAAAACAAAAATCTCAAATTGAAAACCTAACCTTATACCTCAAGTAACTAGAAAAAAAAAAAGACTAAACAAAGCCAAAGTTATCAACAGAAGAAATGAAATAACAAAGATAAGAGTAGAAATAAATGAAATGCAGACCAGATAAACAACAGAAAAGTTTAACAAAACTGAGAGCTGGTAATTTTGAAAAGGTAACCAAAATTGACAAAACTTTAACTAGACTAAGAAAATAGATAGAGGACATAAATAAATAAAATTATAAATGAAAGAGGAGACATTACAACTGATACCACAGAAAACCCAAGGATCAAAAGAGTCTACTGTGAATAATCACACACCAATAAAGTCAGTGACCTACAAAATACATAATAGAAATACAAAATACAAAATAGATGCCTAGGGACATATGACCTACCAAGAAGAAATCATTAAAAAAATAGAAATTCTCAAAAGACTAAGGAAGAAGCTTTTCCTCTAAGATCAGAAACAAGACAACTGTGCCCATTCTCCCATTCCTGTTCAAAATAACGCTGGAAATCCTAGACAGATCAATAGGGCAAGAAAAAGAAATAAAAGGCATCCAAGAAAGAAATAAAATTGTCTTAGTTTGCACATGATATGATCTTCTATATAGAAACCATAAAGACTTCACCAGAAACCTGTTAGAACTAATCAATGAATACAAAAGTTGCAGGATTAAAAATCAATATACAGAAATCAGCTGCCTGTGAATACACTATCAGTGAAATGTCTGATAAAGAAAGCAATTCCACTCACAACAGCATCAAATACAATTCCATTCAAAACAGTATCGAATACACAATACATCAAAAACAAATCAAATTCTTAGGATTAAATTAAACCAGTGGAGGCGAAAGATCTGTGCACTGAAAACTATGAGACTCTGATGAAAAATATTCTATGTTTATGAATTGGAAGTATTCATATTATTAAAATGTTCATACTTCCCACAGCCATCCAAACAATCAATGCAATCCTTATCAAAAATTCCAATGATATTTTTCAGACAAAGAAAAAAGTTCCTAAAATTTGTATGGAACCACAAAAGATCCCAAACAGCCAAAGTGATCTTGCATAAGAACAAAGTTGGGGGGCACGTGGATGGCTCAGTCAGTTAAGTGTCTGATTTTGGCTCAGGTCATGATCTTGCAGTTCGTGAATTTCAGCCCCACATCAGGATCTGTACTGACAGCTCAGAGCCTGGAGCCTCCCTCAGATCTGTGTCACCCTCTCTCTCTGCCTCTACCCTGCTTGTGCTCTTTCTCTCTCAAAAATAAACATTAAAAAAAAGAAGAACAAAGCTGGAGGTAGTATGTTCCTGATTTCAAACTACCACAAAGCTATACTAATCAAAACATATGGTACTTGCATGAAAATAGACACATAGACAAATGGAACAGAATAGAGATTCCAGAAATAAACCCATGCATATATGATCAAAGAATAGTGTCTTCAATAAATTATCTTAGGAAAAGTGAATAACTATGCGCAGAAGAATGAAACTGGACCACTATCTTACATCACTAACAAAAATTAACATAAAACAGATGAAAGGTTTAGATGTAAGACCCCAAACTGTAAAGTACCTAGGAGAAACACAGGGGGGAAGCTCATTTACGTTGACTTTAGCAAAAACTTTTGGAATATAACACCAACTCCACCTGGGTGGCTCAGTTGGTTAAGCGCCAGCTCTTGATCTCAGCTCAGGTCATGATCTCATGATTCATGAGTTCAAGCCCTGCACTGGGCTCTGTGCTGACAGCTCGGAGCCTGGAGCCTGCTTCAGATTCTGTGTCTCCCTCTCTCTCTGCTCCTCCCCCGCTCATGCTCTGTCTCTCTCTCAAAAATAATAAACATTAAAAAAAGAAATTTTTAAGAATGGCTATCTTTAAAAAGACAACAAGCACCTGGTTGGCTTAGTCAGTAGAGCATGTGCCTCTTGATCTCAGGGTCATGAGTTAGAACCCCATGTTGGACATAGAGATGACTTAAAAAAAAAAAAAAGACAAAATAACAAGTGTTGGTGTGGAAATGGAGAAATGCAACCCTTGTGCACTGTTGAAAGAAACATAAATTAGTGCAGTCAATATGGAAAACAACATGGAGATTTCTCAAAAAATTAAAAATAGAACTACCATATGATCTAACAATCCCACTTCTGGGTATTTATCCAAAGGAAATGAAAACGTGATTTCAAAGAGTTATATGTGCTCCCATGTTCATTGCAGTATGATTCAAAATAGTCAAGATATGAAAATAACCTATTGATGAATGAATGGAAAAAGATGATGGGATACACGTATACACACACACACACAGAGTAATATTATTCAGCCATGAGAAAGAAGGAAATCTTGCCATTTGGGACAACATAGATGACCTTGAAGACATTACACTGCTGAAATAAGTTCACCAGAGAAAGAAAAATCCTCCATGATCTCACTTGTATGTGGAATCTATAAAAGCCAAACTCCTAGAAATGAGATTAGAATGGTGGATGCTAGTGGTGGCTGATGGGAGGAATGGCTAGATGTTAATCAGAGGCTACAAACTTCCGGTTATAAGATGAATAATCTTATGTGTACAGCATGGTGATTATAGGTAACAATACTGTATTATATACTTGAAAGTTGCTAAGAGAGTAGATCTTAAATGCTCCCACCATTATAAAGAAATGGTAATCATGTGAAGTGATGGAGGTGTTATCTAATGTTATTGTGGTAATAATCTCATGATATACAAGTATATCAAGTCATCACATTTTATGCTTAAGCTTAAAACGTTATATGTCAATTGTATCTCTATAAGGCTGGAAAAAAGATATTTAAAACCTTAGGAATATATGGAAATTAACAATGAACTCAAATAATTCATGAATCAGATAAAAATTATAAGAAATATTAGGAAAGATTTTACAGTGAGTGACACAAAAACACAACATATCAATATACATGGTAGGAGACAAAACAGTGCCTAGAAAGAAACTTCTAGCACTAAATATTTAAACTATAAAATAAGAATGTTCTCAAATCAAAG